TACTAAGAATATTCGCTTCTCGTGACAATGAGATTACCTGTGGTGAAGAGGCCTGGACAGTTAACTACCGCTTCAAGGGGAAACTTAACGAAAGTTCACTGTCCGGNGACCGCCGGACAGTTAGCTACCGCTTCAAGGGGAAACTTAACGAAAGTTCACTGTCCGGCGGGATATAATAGTTAACGGCCGGAATATTAGTGTTAGCGCGTATATGTATATGTATGTATTTGTGTCTACATATGCCTACATTAGGGCGGATCCCTAACGTGTCAGAATATTAGGGCTGGACATTATTTTGTGGGAATATTTAGACTGATGGTCTAAACATCCCGGCCCCCTTGCGATAAGCAAATCCAAGAATTTGGACGCGTTTCATCCACCAAGCTCTCTCTGTTGATCTTATATAGTAATAGGTAAAGTTTTTTTTTTTTTTTTTTTAGAAAAAACATTTTTGTTCAGCGACAGGTAACCACTGCGACAGTCATCGCTATGAGCTTCGTCTTTCTTCTTCCTAAATTGCTATAAAAAAGGGGGAGAATTAAAGGTACAATAGTGGTTACAATTCAATGCACTTTATTGAAAAAATAATACTTCCAATGAAAATAACGCAAATTCAAGAAAAAAACTAACAATTAATTGTAATTTAAGCTCTGTATATGCCCGAGAGAACCCATCCAAAGATTGTACTCTGGGCTAAAAGAGGTCCGAAGGATGTGGGCAGTGTCCCCGGCAGGATAATGTCCGCGTAGACGTCCGTACCGAGTACTAAACGGATCGGTGATGAGCCGTAAAAGTTTGGGTCCGCCAGTCGGATGTGGGCATATGGCTCAGCTATTGCGGGGTCTACACTGACGGATGGACAAATGCGGTTGAAGTGCGGCGCCATAACGGCATGAGTTGCGATTCGGTTGTTTTTCCCATGCTTTCCCCTGAGTCGCAAAAGGCAGCCCCTTTCTCCGTCCATGCGTGTTTCATCCAAATGCAACTCTCGGGCTAAGTCAGACGAAATTATGGTTCGGTTGGAGCATACGTCGATCAGGGCACGAACTAGATGTAGCCGCCCTCCAGCCTCGACTTTCACCACGGCCGTTGGGGCGATGGGGACCATGGGTCGTAGCGTATGGCCTAACGTTCCGTTTCGGAATGCGCGTGGTTTGAATGGCTGGCGAGACCGAGTCGCCCACGCTTTTCTAGGCGTGTGTATGGAGAGCGCCCCGTCGGAACTGCCATCCTCCTCTTCCTCCACCTGTTGTGCCCATGATTTTCTAGGCGTACTTTCGGGCTCGTCCAAATGCAGCGTCGAGTGATGTTTTTCACCGCATCGGCGGCATCTTCCTTCGCTCGTGCAGTTTTTGAGCTGGTGCGTCATGACGAGGAAATTAGCGCAAAAGCGGCCTAGTAGTGCTTCCCGTAATCTTTCCTCAGGGGATTTTGCGCGATAGACTGGGCAGAGTCTAATGGGGTGATTCGCAAAGCATAGGCGGCACGGCTGCGGATAGCGCTCGCTGCTTAGTTCGGCCTTTTTCCTCAAAGCAGCGAAGTAAGGCATGTTTTCTTCAGAAATTATGTCGGAGTTTCGTATATATATGCATATATTTAGATATATTGTTGGGTGGCGAGTGGATCTGGTTTTATTAGTCAAGTGGCATAAAGTTTCGCTTATGCACAAAAAAAACTTCGTTCGGAGAGTGTGAATACGGCATTATATCCCTAAGATTCATTTGTGTAACCACGGTATAATGTAGGTAAATTACCTCCTCAAGTTGGATTGTGGAT